ACAGGAAAGGAGGGAAAAAAAAAATTGGAACCAGGAACAGGGAAAAGAAAAAAAGCTGAAAACTAGAACCTGGGAAGGGAAGAATAAAGAATGATAACAGAAAGAACAAAAGTAATAATAGTAGTAGTAGTTTTAAAACAGACAAAAACTAACTAACTTTAAAAAAAGGAAAAATCTGGACAGGGCAGGGCAGGACACCCAGGCTCCATCTGAGCACACAGACTGGGATGGAAGGGATGGCCATACCTCTGTTCACCAAGAGGGTGTGAGATATAAAAGTAACAAGAGGAATGTCACACATTATCAGTAGTCCATGAGTCCGGGATGTCTTTGCGGTTCCCAGCAAGTGGAGCCTGTTCTTAAATCCCTGGAATCTGGGAGAACGCTGTCACTTTAAATATCCAAAATGGTCAAGCCGCATGTAAACATTCAAAATGGCTGCACCCTCTGGACAGACAAAAGTCCACAGCTCAGTCCACCTCTCTCTTCGCTGCTTCCGCTTTCATTCCCCAGCCACCAGAGCAGTTCACCGTGGAGTCTCTAGAGCAGGGCTGATTTTTAGGTTCATTCTTAGATCCTACCACCACTTGGCAATATCCAAGCTGTCTGTGCCATGAGGATCGCTGCCAGTCCACAGCTCCATATGTCTCCTTTTTTGGTGTTTTCATGCAAATTCTTCTGCTGGTTGGAGTTTAGTCCACTTCTATATTCTTCCCTTCAAAGCTCAGGGGTCCAGGATTATCTTCTGTATCTGTGTTAATTGGTTCCCCTTTTCTTTATTGAAGAGGGTTTAATGCAGTCCTTCTGCCTATTCTGCCATCTTACCAGAACTCTACTCTGTGGTTATTAATGGTGGGTGCACATGAGAATTGCCCAGTGTCCACACTTAAATTAGAATCATCGGGGTGGTCCTGGCATCAGTTGTTTTAGTTTTTTTAAGGCCCTCAGAGGTTCTAACCTGCACGGGGATTAAGAACCACCACAAGAATCAATCTCCAGCTGGTGGCATTATAGGCAGTCTGGAGGAAGACAGTTGTCATGCAGAGAAATCACTGTCAATCAGCCCTGCCCTGCCGCTGGGCTACCTTTCCATACCATTTCTATATTCTCGGGCTCTTCCTTTACTCTACACCTCTAAAGCACAGGTTCCCTAATGGCTCCCAGTGTGAAAACATCATGGAAAGAGGAAGGAGAAGAGGTTCAGGAGAAGGAGAGAAGGATAATAGAGAATAGCCACAGGCTGGAATGATTCAGAAGCTGTAGGTTTATAAGACAGTTTTCATGTACAGGTATTCCCCAGGTAACAAACATCTAATTTAGAACCTGTAGTTATGGACCAACCCTGTGAAGCCTATTATATTAAAAATTCTAGGAACATACAATGGTTTGTAATAACAAATGGGTGCTACTTTGTGACATGCTTCAAAATATTATTATTATCACAGTATTATTATATTAAAGTAATATATCAGACAGTGTTTCACTGCTATTCATAAGGTTTTCACTGGCCAATTCTTTGTGAAGTGGATGGCTCTTTCCTTCTTCCCAGCATGAAAGGGTAAGACCTTCAACAAGATGGATTGGCACAATGGCTGAAAGAATGGGCTCAAGCATAGCAAGGATTGTGAGGATGTCACACAACTAGACAGTGTTTTGTTCTGTTGTAAAAAGGGTCACTATGAGTCAGAGCTGACTCAAAGGCACATAACAGCAAGAACAATGACATTATATTACAGATTTTTTAGTGTATCTGGAAGGTTTTTTTATTTTATTTTTTTTATGTATAGAAAGATACACTGAATACTATATATATATATACTAAGATAAACATCTGGGTAACTGACATTAGATATAAACTGTATCTAACTCTTCCAATTTACAGAAAAATTAGACTTAAAGACAGAGTTAGGAATAGAATTCATTCATAATCTGGGGACTGCCTGTAGCTCTAAAAACTATACACACTCCAAGGAAATCTTGGACTCTTTCCAATGATCAGTCCTTGGGACAGCTCTGTAAGTCTTTGGCTACCATTTCTTCTTTCTTGAGAAAACATATTACCTGTACTCACTCCATGATTTTCTCTCACTGGATCTCCTTCTGGTGTAACTTCAGGAGCGGAAGCTAGTGCTTAAATGGCAAGTTATGAGGGGCTCTTTTCTGCCCCAAAATATCTCCCAAGACCTGCAGGGTACCTAAAATCCCATCATTGTCATCACCCCCAACAAGTGTCCTAAAAATAAAATATTAAGGGCTAAAAAAAGTAAGTGAAAGAGTTGGTACCCCATTTGAAATCTACAAACAATGTTACATAACTCCCAGTTCCTCCTACACTGTGACCCTGTTGAGGATTTACTCTCTTCATCTTTGGATGCCAAGTGCCCAGCAGTACCAGACACCTAGCAGGTGCTCAATATGTTTTCTAAAGCACAATTCATTCCCTCTAGGTGTATTTGCGGCAGGAATCTCTTTGAAGAGATATACAGCTTGAAGCTCCTTACAGTTCTAAGATTATAAGTTGCATGTAGACTCTAACAAGATAATTATACTAATATAAAAGGCATGTCATACCAGACAAATGGAAGATTTTTTCCTATTCATTCATTCAACAAATATTTACTGAGTGCCTAATAGGTGTTGTATCTGGGGATACAATAGTCAACAAAATACAACATATCTCTACTCTCATGGGAAATAAAATAAGAAAATACAATGTGGATACTAAATTCCAATACATTTTCCCTTTGTTTTACCAAGTCATCCCCTGGAGAAATGATCTATCTACTTCTCTTTGACACACATAAAAATTTTATCTGCAAACAAAAGAGATGGAGTTAGAACAGGCAAAATCCTGGAAATCTTCTATTTAATAGATTGGAGAGATTAGTCTCTGTCTCATATTAAAAAGAAATGAAGCTTGGTATGCATCCCATAATATTCACTACTTATAAACTACCTACGAGTCAGAATTGACTCAACGGCAGTGGGTTTTATAAACTACCTAAATGCTCCAAAACGCACAACATTTTCAGAAGTTCCACTTATTTTCAGCCTCATATACAAACTTCCTCTTTCCTTCACTTTTTCCCATCTACCTTGTGCTTTATACCTCTTATTTATATGAGGACAAGAGTCCCTAGGTGGCAAATGGTTATATGCTTGACTACTGGCCAAAAAGCTGGCAGTTGGAACCCACCCAGAGGTGTCTTGAGAGACAGGTACAGTGATGTGCTTATGAAGGTACAGCACTGAGAACCCTACAGAGCCCAGTTCTACTCTGTACACCTGGGGTCACCCTGAGCCAGGAACAATTTGATGGTAAGTAACAACATATGAGAAATGCCAAAAAGACTCAAGTGAGGGTCAGGGAGCAAATACATCCTCAAAAAAACAAGGGTGTGTGTCCAAAGTAGAAAACCACCCAACTATTTGCTTCAAAAAACTGAGAGATCAAACCAATTCTGTGCCCTGGCTGGTAGGGTAGTACTCGGGGCTGGCACAGAGAAGCACAGCCGACCATAAATCTGAGCAGACTGGAAACCTCTGAATGCTGACCCCTCGGTGTCTAGTGCCAGGATGAAAGCAAATAGTGGCCCTCGTTGTGATTCACACATTTCCATCACTTGTACTGAAAGCAAAGACTTGGACCACAGAAGCTTGGCGATAGAGGGATGTGTGGCAGTCTTAGCCAGGAAGTTACAGACATCAGGCTCACAGGCAATAAATTTCCTTATACGAGAAGAAAGGAGTCGGAAGACAGGAGGAGAGGACAGAAAAATTAGCTCTGGGTCATAAAGGCTCATTTTTCCATATCCCTTATTCATTTACTGCTTGACTTGGCTATAAGTTCTGTTTAAATAATAATAATAATAATAATAATAAAGACTGCCTAGAGTGGTCCAATGTCATGGAAACATGTTAAAAACCAAGAGACTTCTGAATTCTTCAAAAAGTGTGAGAAGTCAGCTGGTGGGTCTGAGCAGAGTGGAACTAATGATTATTTTCAGCTGAGGACAACAGAGGTCTCACAGCTGTGCTTCGGAGGAATCTTACTCTCAAAAAGGCATTTTAATAAATGCCAATATGAATTTTATTTATGAAAATACAGCTCTAGTTGAATGTATTAAGTGGAGAAACTTCTTCCAGGAACACGCACGACCAAATGCTGAAAGCCACATCTCTGCCCTGGATCCTCTTCACCTGATGTCACTGCAGTAGGGAATCTTGGGTTTCCAATAGCAAATGTCTCTATTTCTCAACTAGATGCTTACAGTGCATGGTCAACTCAGCTGGCCAACCCCTTCCTTGGCTGGATTTGGGTAAGTGTACCACGTGTCTAAATATTTTAACAGTTATAAATCAAGCCTGAAAGTTCATCCAAGCTTAACCAATACAGTCCAAAAGGCCAAGATGGCCTGGAAAGCCAGACTGAAATGGAGAATTCTTAAGAGCTTTTCAAGCCTCATGTCAAGAGTGTGTCAGAGTGTGGCAGCATGAGAGGACCAGCCCTGGCTTCTAGCTCCCAGTATGCCCTTTCTCTTTCCAGCCCAAGGTCCTTCAGCCTGCAAGTCCACACCTCCATGCACAACCTTTCCCACCACAGCCTCCCTTTGGACACTCACTGGGCCTAGGAATGAGTCAAAAGACAAACAGAAGGAGGCCTGACATCAAACTCAGAGCCACGTGGGCAGGTAATTTCATGATATGATTTAGAAGGGGGAGTGTGGGTTGAGGGAAGAAACTTCCCTTTAGCTTACAGACTTCATGTCCCATGGGCGTAGGTACAGCTCTCAGTAGTATGGGTCCCAGGCAGAGGCTCCACTTGCCTATCCTAAGGAGAGGAGGATTATTTTGGCTCCTCCACTTTAGGTGACCTCATAAACTATTTAACTTGCCTTCCTGGCAGGCATATTGACTCAGAAGTCTCTAATCAAATATTAGAATTAGAATCAAATGTAGAACAAATGAATTATTCTTTGAAAATGTAAATTATACTTTACCTGAATATATAGTTTAAGTACTGCTGGTCAATGTCACTAAGGAATGAGAGAGAGAAAAAAAAAGATAAAGCAATGAAATAATGGAAGTGTTTTCCATACAAATGACGGTCATTATCCCCTATTAATAAATTGTATCACGTAAAAGTCATAAGGAGCTATGGTGGTGCAGTGGTTAAAGCATTTGGCTGCTAACCAAAAGACTGGTGGTTTGAACTGATTAGTTGTTCTGTGGGAGAAAGATGGGGCAATCCGCTTCCGTACAGATTTATAGCACTTGAAACTCTATGGGGGCAGTTGTACCCTGACCCACAGGATCACTATGAGTCAGAATCAACTCGATGGCAGTGGGTTAGGTTTTCTGGTATAAGTCATACAATTACAAATTAACAATAAAGAGTACAAAACGGTCTTTATATTCAAAATCAGTTCCAGGTTCATTTTTTAAAAAAATATTCCCTAGTTTACTACAATGAAACACATTACTTCCTCTGTGTATGTTTGCCACTTTAAAAGGAATGTCAGCTGTCTCAACCAATGGACTGGCTTGTAAGGCTGCCATGCCATACTTAACAGATAAAAATATAGGGCATGCAAATAAATTTGGATTACATATGAAGAGTAATGTTTAAGTATGTCCCAAACACTGGATGGGCCATACCAGTACCAGTTCTGACATGTGGCCACCCCAAGTGTGTCAGAGCAGAACTGTGCTCCATACGATTTTCAATGGCCAGTTTTTGGGGGGTAGATCACCAGGCCTTTCTTCTAAGGCACCTCCGAGTGGACATCAACCTCCAACCTCTCTGTTAGCAGCCAAATACTCTGTTTGCACCACCCAGGGACTCCAGATAGGACATACATAACCTAAAAACAAACTATTCACTGCTGAGCTGAAGGTCAAGTTTAGGTGGGCATCCTGTATTTTATCTGGCAACCCTATTGGTTCCTTGCCACAAAAATACTTTATTAAAAGAAAAACAGCTGCTCTAGGAACTGTAAGTCATATTCTCAGTGTATAACCTTCTCCTAGCAGTCATTCCCTCAGACCTGCCCCCTCTAGGCCTTCAGGCAGGTCAGCTCCCCTGAGACCCAGTGGTGGGTCAGCCTGTAGGACAGTGGCCCTTGCAGCTTCAGCTCACCCAGGGCCTGAGTCCTCTTTTTTTCATTGGCATTCAGCAAGGCCAATTTCTATTGCAACAAAGGCCTCATTTTTACCCAATAAACAGAGCTAGCAACTGGGGAAATCCAGGGTCTAAACTGAACCAAGTCAGAAGGGTACAAGGAAACAAGAAGGAAGTGTTGTACTTCTGAGCTGGAGGTGGTCAATTCAGGCCCAATGCAGCTGGTAACATAAATTTCACACAAACAACAACTAATTCAAGGAACTAAAAGAACTGAGACTTCCATGCCTTTTCATCAGTCATTGAAAACCAAAAACCAAGCATACTGCCACTGAGTCGATTCTGACTCATAGCAACCCCTATTGGGTTTCTAAGGCTGTAAATCTTTACAGAAGTAGACTGCCTCATCTTCTTCCTGCAGAGCAGCTGGTGGGTTTGAACTGCTGACCTCCTGGTTAGCAGCCAAATGTCTTACACATTACACCACCAGAGCTCCTCAATCATTGAAGGCAGACACATTTTAGGTCTGGGAGCCCAGCCTGGAGCAGAAATGACTTTGGGAGGTGATACAACTGCCCTCAGTGCTGCCCATTCTCACAGCACCATTATCTTACTCGTTTCCTTTAACAAAACAACAACTCATCAGATTTAAACAGTTTACCTCAGCATGTTGGGCTTCTGGAATTTCTGTCGTATCTTATAGGCTCCTGAAAATGAAGTGAAATGAGTCACTGGCATGCAGTATTCTGTGTAATAAGCTGCCCATGTCTCCACATAAAACATGAAGTCTTCGTGGCAGAAGGTCCCCACGGGTGCAGCTACTAGGCCCCACCTCACACAGGGTTACATATGTCCCACCAGAAGTTTTCAAGAATGAGAATTTCAATAACCTTTCATGATCATGCATCTCACTACTAAAGGGGCCCATAGAGAGCACTGGGCAAGAAATGCTTAGTGATCTGCAGAAGAATAAAATTAATGGAAAGATTTTTCTTTCTTTTAAAAGATGCATGTGAACAAGAGAAACACTCTTGGATTTCTTAAATGTATGTAACAGAGTCAGGCACTGTATTTTCTCCTAAGACTATAAACAAGAAACATTAAACACATGATTTGAAATGAAGTCAGGTGGCCCTTTAATTTTCCCCACTTAATTTTTGTTGTTGTTGTTGTTGTTATATTGCTGAAAGAAAATGTTTTTGATGCAAACACAGATATTCTCCCACTGTTTTCAGAGAAGACCAACCAGCATCCACAACTGGGCTGAGGAAGCACAGCTGGAGCCAAGGAAGTTAATTAACATTTGTCATGAAAAAGAGGAAACTGTGGTAGCACGGCGCCTAAGGCACTTGACTGCTGACCAGAAGGCTAGCAGTTCAAACCCACCAGCCACTCCTCAAAAGAAGATTGGGCAATCTACTTCTATAGTGATACCGCCTCAGAAACCCAAGGAGGGATCACTATGAGTCAGGTCCAACTTGATGACACATAACAACAACATACTGGAAATACAAATGTTTGAGGAAAACTCCAAACCAGAGAAAAATCAAACCAGAAAATATCTATTTACCTATTTTTATGCAATTACGCATGTTGTCTGTGATTTTTTCCCCAACCATGCCCTCTTCCACAAGGTATTTTCATAACCATGCTCTGCTAGTTTTTTTACAGCAACATGTAAAAAAAACAAATTAACAGAATGCTCAAGAAAAATACATTGGGGAGGGAATGGCTGGCAAAAAAAAAAAAAAAAATCTGTAAAGAAAAATTGTCGATGTGTAAAAATATCGTTATTATAACCCTGATGTCTTAGGTTTAATTCTCCTACTGTCCAGGGTCACTGAAAGATGCATATACTCTAAGGTCTAATGATTAAGCCTCTGCTATGAAAGCAAACACTCTATGAATACTTACCTACACAGAATAAGTGAATTATAGCCCAAAAATATCCATCCAGATCAAACTGTAACACAGGATAAAAAAAAAATGAATACAGACAAACAAGGAGCAAACACAATGATCAGAATCAATGTGCCAAGCCAGTGCCAAAAAAAAATGTAACTCACTGTCATAGAGTTGATTCCAACTCATAGCAATCCCCACTGATTTTCTAAGGCTGTAAATCTTTATGGAAGCAGATTACCTCATCTTTCATCTTTCTTCTGTGGAGCAGCTGGTAGGTTCGAATCACCAACCTTTTTTTGGTTAGCAGCGAAGTGTTTTAACCACTATACCACCAGAGCTTCTTACGCAAGTGCCAAGCAAGAGGCCAAAACAGGATCCTTGGGGCCTTAAGCCAGTCCCTCCTCTTTTCTCACCTAGATGTCCATAACATCTTCCTAACCAGACTCTGCCTCTGGCACCACCACCTCCATGCCCACACTGCCACCACCTTGTTTCTAAAAGGCATATCTATCTAGTGGTATCATCTTTTGCTTAAAATCATTCAACAGTTCCCCAGTGACATCAGGAGAAAATCCCAATGACAAGCCCTGTCAAGCCCTCCAGTCCCATCTACCCCACCCCTCAGACAAAAGAGAACCGCCTATCCGAATGCCTTCCTCACCAACTCAGCAGAGAGGCACTCCCTCCTCTTCTTCCATTCCTTCTTTTTCTCTGTAGCACTTAATATCCTCTACCACACTCTATATTTTACTTATTCTTTGTTTATCTGTCTCCATCCACCCCCACTACCACCCTACCCCTGCCACATACACACATGTACACACACACACGCACACACACACACACAGATTATAAATTCCAGAAGGGCAGCAATTATAATAGGGCAAGCACACATTGTTGTTGTTGTTGTTTGCCGTCCAGTCGGCCCCGACTCATAGCGACCCCTCCTTGGGTTTCCGAGGCAGTATCACTACGGAAGTAGGATTGCCCAACCTTCCTTCCGAGGAGTGGCTGGTGGGTTTGAACTGCCTGCCTTCTGGTTAGCAGTCAAGTGCCTTAGCCACTATGCTACCAGAGCTCCAAATAATGTTGGATGGTAGAATACTCAGGACACCTCCAGGACTTTACCCACACCTGCTTTCTCCTAGCTAACTCCTCTTCATTCTTCAACCTTTAGGTCCAGTAAGCAGTCTGAAAGGAGCCCTCACAGTGCATGGGTAAGCACTCAGCTGCTAACCAAAAGGCTGATGGTTTGAATCTACCCAGCAGCTCCGTGGGAGAAAGACTTGAACTTCTCCTATAAAGATTACAGCCTAGAACTCTCTATGAGCCAGTTCTACTGTCACATAGAGACTCTGTGAGTCAAAATTGACTCCACAGCACCCAACAACAGCAGGCAGCATCTGGCTCTACAGTCAGAAAGAAAAAAAAAAAAATCAGTGACATCAAGTCAATTCAATTCATGGCAACTCCATGTCAGAATAGAACTGTGTTCTACACAGTTTTCTGTGGTTGTTCTTTTTTATTGTTGTTGTTTGTTTACCTAAAGTACATTGTCAGGTCTTTCTCCTGTGGTGCCTCTGGGTAGACTCGAACCATCAACCTCTTGGCTAGCAGCCAAGCAAGTTAACCATTTACACCACCCAGAAACAAAACCAGAAAGATCTGGGTTAAATTCTAAAGTCTTCACTTATTCATTAGCTGGTGACCTTTTGGATCTCATTATTCTTCAGCTATGAAAAGGAGATAATAACAGTGCCTACCCTTAGGGAATTGTTGTGAGATTTTAACTCAGATAACGCAATAGGCATTGGCACAGTGCCTGGTACACAGCCAGCTCCCTATAATTGTGAGTTCTTCCCATTTCCAAGTCTTTTTAGGTGCCCCATAGCATCCCACACCTCGCTGGGGTACAGCCCTGACCTCACCATGTTATAATTATCTGTCAACTCATCTCTTTGCCCTCCCCTTGACTCTATGTAGACTTTGACTTCTATTCTGCCTGGACAAGGGCTATTCTTCTTCTTTGTGTCCCCAGTGCCTGGCTCAGTACCTGACACTTGATGGGGATTTAAGAAACATTGGAAAAGAAAAAGGAAGGAGCAAAGAAAAGAAACCCATCAATAAGATGATTCCTGAGGGTTGGGGGTGGGTCCTCAGTGCTAATAAAGGAAATCTCAACTTCAGCTCAGGATGACAAACAAAATGAAAATGATGAGGTACTCAGATGAGAGAGAAAAACAACTTTGCTTCCATGCCTGTGGCTTGGAAAGCCTAAGCACTGGCTTGCAGGTTCAACAAACACATACAGAGAACAGACTGTGTGTGTAACTAGTACCCAAAGGCAAGAGCTTGGCAGCCTACTGGCACTACCCTGGGGAGAAGGCAAAGGTTAGGGAATGGTGACCCTGGGCAAAAGGTATCTGGGCTAAGAGCTTCTGAGTGCCTTCCCACAGATCAGGGTTATCCTTATTCTAACAGGAAGGGCCAGGAAATTCTGCTCATCCACGTAGGCTTCAGAGAGTGAAAGATACCTTGAAGGCAAAATGATTTTACCTGAGCTTACCTGGGAGTCATTGAAGGGAAGGCATCCTGCGGCAGCCAGGAGGAAGAGGGCACTGCAGAGAGGGAGATAAAATACCTCGGCTTTACTTTCAACATCAATGGACTCTCAGAGAAAGTGCAGACTGAAATACATTGACTGGTGTCTAGATGAGGCAACAACCCTGTGAGACCAAGCCCAGTTACTGTGTTCATCCTCTGAGTACCTGGCTACCTATGTAGTTTTCAACACTGAGAACCACACACTTTCTTCCCAGGTGGCCCACTAGCCATTCTCCCAGAGAGGCACTTGCAGGACATCTGCAAAATCCAAACTGGCTCACTCAAACACATGTTCCTGTAGCTACAGACCTGAAAAGCACACTAGTGGAAAACTGGGCCAATAGGACCACAATTGTGCCAGTTCCCAACAGAAAACACCATGGAAAGAGCACTAAAGTCTTCTGTATATCACCTTAACCAAATGATAAAACTTAACAGCTGCAGTAATAGAACAGATTTAGATCATGTGCCTATCATACAATGCTCCTAGAAGGACACAACATCACTTATGTGGCAATTCCTGACAAATATGAAGAACCTGAATCGAATCATGAGGAAACACTGAGACAAACCCAAATTTAGGACAGTCCACAAAACAACAGGTCCAAAGTCTTCAAAAATGCTACCGCAATGGAAGACTGAGGAACTCATCCAGACTAAAGTATATGAAAGACACATAGCATCTTTGTGGTAAAAACTGCTATAAAAGACAATATTGGGATAACTGGAAAAATGTGAACATGAACTCTATATTAGACAATATTATATCACATGCTAAATTTTCTAAATTTGATTACTGTGATAATATAAAAGATTGTTTTTAGGAAATATATGTTGCAGTATTTTAGGGGCAAAGGATCATGATCTCTGAAATTTATTCTCAAATTATTCAGAAAATTCAAATAAAAAGAGTAAGAGAAAGAATGTACACATTCTTATATATTCTGTGCATATGACATTTATTTACATATATATACACACAAAAGGAGCTCTGGTGGAACAGAGCCTGAGGCACTTGACTGCTAACCACCAGCCACTCCTGGAAGGAAGGTTGGACAATCTACTTCCGTAGTGATATCACCTCGGAAACCCAAGGAGGGGTCACTATAAGTTGGGTCCGACTTGACAGCAGTAAGTTAGTACACACACAAATATAGAAAGAAAATGCAAAAATCTGATCAATGGAAGATTCCAGGTCAAGGGTATACGGGAGTTCACTGTAATATTCTTGGAACTTTTCCGTAGGTTTAAATCTTTCTCCCCAAATAAAAGGTTTTCTTAGAAAAACCTTTTATACATACTGAAATATTTACAGATGAAATTATATCATGCCTGGGATCTGCTTCAGAATAATAGTGAAGCAAGGAAGTAGATGGGGCCAAGAACTGATCATTGTTGAAGCTCGCTGACGGGTATATGGGACTTCATCATACAATTCTTTCTACTTTTATATATGTTTAGAAATGTCCATAATAAAATGTTTGTTTTTTAAATTCTTATATGAAAAAGCAACACAGCTAATCATAATAAGAAAGCTATTCTTATTCATGGGAGCCCTGGTGGTGTAATGCTTAAGGCATTTGACTGCTAACCAGAAAGGCTGGCGGTTCAAGCCCACCAGTCACTCCTTGGAAGGCAGACTGGGCAATCTACTTCCATAGAGATACCACCTCAGAAACCCAAGGAGGGGTCGCTATGAGTTGAGATCGACTTGACAGCAGTGAGCTTGGGTTTTTGGTTTGTTTTTTTGTTTTTTGTATTCCTATTCATTAGAAAGTAGTTTTGGAGCTCTCTTTTGGTTCAGTATCATTGGCTTGTTTTCTCTCTTCTAGGTTTCCAATAACAAAAGATTTTGCCCCCTAGCTTTCCCCAGTCCAAACTATCACACACTTTCCCCTTGTTCCATTTTATCAATGCACCAACATGTATGGTGTTGGGTTCCTTTGTTACTGACCATTCCATTAGGCACCAAAGGGCAAAAGATTAAAGGTCTGAGCCAAAGCAATGACTACAGTGTTTTCACTTTTAGAGACTTTGACATACGATACCTCATACCAAAGTATGTTCCATATACATATAGAATTCTATATTCTCTAGATAAAATATATATTATACATATGTAATATACAACTTTCTGACACTTATAATCTGAGTACCCTGAAAAGCCTGCTGCTGCTAATCAATTCTGCCAACACCACCACCACTGCTGTAATTACCTGTAGTTACACACCCAACAGACTTCCTATAACTGGTACAGAGGAGGCACCGGTGCTGACATCCTCAGCCTTGGGAAGCAAGGACATCCTGAGGCCCAGGAGGGTTCTCACTGCAGCCCACTCTACTCCTGTAGCCTTGCCAATGCACAAGGCTCCTACGCACACTCAGCCTAAAGAAGACTCCAAGGCCATGGATGGTGAGGGGCTCAAAGGAAGGAGAGTAGAGTGAGTGAGGAGTTTGTCAGGGAGGGTTTCTGGGACTGAACAGAAATACGTAGGTTTCAGGTGTGAGGGAGAATTCTAGTGATTGTCCACCTAAAGTGTTAGAGATCCCCTCAACAGGCAAATCCTGTGTGTGGGGGAGAGAGGGAGGATATCAAAGTGTGAGATAGCTTCCTGGTTTCCTATCAAAACTGCACCCTGAGCAATATCAGATTATCAGGTATTACCCACTGCCACTGAGTTGATTCCAACTCACAGTGACCCCCGCTGGGTTTCCAAAGCTACAAATCTTTACGGGAGTAAATTGCCTCATCTTCCTCTTGTGGAGCAGCTGGTGGGTTTGAACCACCAACTTTCTGGTTAGCAGCCAAATGCCTTATCCGCTATGCAGCTACGTCTTTCTTTAACTTCTCCTAAATCTCCTTTCGAAAAAGAGAATGAGTTGCAGGACTTTTTTCAAGTAGCAGCCTGTAATAAAGGCTATATAAAAGAAGAAAAAAGGATTGGATGAAAGCTCAGAAATATTCGAAACAAAAACGTCCTAAATCTATGCATCAAACTTTCTTTTAGTTGTTGTTGAAAGACTCAGCTTCAGTCTACAGAATGGAGCTTCTTAACTGCTAAGGGTGAAGGAAGTGGGCAGCTAGGACAACAAGCCATCAGGTTAGAATTCAAAGGCTGCCTGGGATGAGAGGGATCTGCAAGAGAGAACAGCAAGATTGCAGCAGGGGAAACTGAGCCACGGTGTCTCATGAACCCTGCCTTTGATTCTCTATTATAGCCCAGAACTAACATGCAGACCAGTGCATTTTCCACCTAGAAAATAAGAAAAACCCAATAAACTCCACAAATTATTTTTAAATTCTCAAGTCATTTCTGTGTTTTTTATTTCCACTCTCCATCAATGTTGCACAACTATTTGTTACTGAGCTTTGGACATCAATAGCTGAAATCTGGCACGGGTTTGCTACGTTTGTTTTCTCCTCAGGAAAAATATATTTCAAAAAGAAAAGAGGAAAAAAGAGAGAACTTCTGCATAAGACATAAAATAGTGATATATGAGTCCTGATAATAAATTTTTCTCTCAGCTCCCAGAGGATAAATCTTCAATAACCAGTTTGTCATCAGAGTTCAAAATCAACTTAAATCTTTACGTTAGGGGTTGGATTTTCTTAAAACTTACCTACAGATTTTTTCAGGAGAAGTTTTCTGTATGAAAGTAAAGAAATTTACAGTTAGTCTTTACAACTCTTTTTTTGGTCCCCATTAAAGGAAAACATTAAGGTCAGATGGCAGATATTAAATTATGAGTTAAGTGCATTAGGGGGCTTAACAGCTGCTGCACTTTTGTATTTATTGAGGCTTTTTTGCTGCTTGGACCAAATGAGGATGACTCAGAGCTCCAGCACTGAGTCACTTTAGCAAAGCACTCTGGGTGTGCAGAACTTCACCCGCCCACCAAGCACTTCTCACAGCCCCATGAGAACCACGTTTACCCAGGAAAAGCAAATGGACACAGGAGTCAATCCTTCCAACACATTATACACAGAGAAAGGAGGGGAGAAGACAGACGGAACCTGTGTAAGAGAAGGAAATACGCTCTTGTTCAACTTCTCCTGCATCTCCGTTTCTTTCAATATTCTTTTCATTAATCCAGCTCTGACTCTGAGCGATGCTATTAATTACCTGCTATATTTAAAGGTTGGGCAATCCTACTTCTGTAGTGATACTGCCTCAGAAACCCAAGGAGGGGTCGCTATGAGTTGGGGCCAACCCGACAGCACATAACAACAACAACAACATATTTAAATTAAGAAATAGAGAAAGTACTGACTGCTCGGATGAGGATCACAATAGAAGGTCTTAGAAAGAGTGGGAGAAAAATACATAACAAAATTCAAATTCATTAAAAAAAAAAAAAATCAGACTTAACTGCTCTGATAGAGACTGGGGGGATTCCTGAGACTATGGCCCTTCGACACCCATCAGACCTAGAACCGAACCCACTCCCCGAAATCACCTTTCAGCCAAACAACAGACCTATAAAGTGAACATAACACCTGTGAGGAATGTAATCCTCAGAACAACCAACCTCATGAGACCAAAAGGGCAGCATCTGCCCAAAAACAAAGTTCAGGAGGTAGGAAGGGGCATTCGGAAAGAAGGGCAATGGAAACAGTGGGGAAGCCAGAGAGAAACTGGGAAGAGTGCTGTTACACTAAGGAGATGGCAACTGGTGCCGTGAAACAAAATGTGTGTAAATTATTGAATGGGAAACTAATGTACTCTGTAAACTTTCACCCAAACCACAATAAAATGTTAAAAAAAAAAAAAAGAAAGAAACAGAACAACGAGAAAGGGGCCACTTTATTCATCTCCTAGAGAGAAAGAAAAAAAAAGTTCCTTTTTTTTAAAGAATTGACTGAGGAGACATAAAGCTCCTTGAAATGAAGAAATTCAAATTTGAATTCTACCCTCACCAATTCCTTGTGATTAGGCAGTTTAAGGGAATTAGTCCACTGCACTCAAGAAGAAAGATTTATTTAGCAGGGAGCTCTGGTAGCATAGTGGCTAAAGCACTTGACTGCTAACCAGAAGGCTGGCGGTTCAAACCCACCAGCCACTCCTCGGAAGGAAGGTTGGGCAATCCTACTTCCATAGTGATACTGCCTCGGAAACCCAAGGAGGGGTCGCTATGAGTCGGGGCTGACTCGACGGCACATAACAACAACAACAACAACAGTACAGTGTTTTTTAAAACAATGTTTGATAGGGGAAGCAGATAGGTAGGGTAATAGATTAATACAAAACACTGTGGAAGGATTATTTTGCAAGTTGAGGGCAAACTAAATTTGGACACCCAAGTTCGTATAAAGTGTGAAGTATAAACATAGTGTTAAAAAGTGAGGAGTTGACAAAAATCATTTTAAAAAAAAAAAAAAGGACCAGACTTGCTGGTCTAATAGAGCCTGGTGGAACCACTGAGACTATGGCCCCTAGCTGCCCTCAAGGTCTGAAATTGAACCCACTCCTGTGGCTTCCAGCCAAACAAAAGACAGGCATATGAGCTGAACACTCCTTGGCGAGATCGATCATGGGAGAATAGAACGGCTGTGTATGTACAGGGAGACCGCTGGGGGGAAGGCAGGGCAGGAGTGCATGGGAGGGAAGAACACAGGGAAGAGGTGGCTATGGGGAGGAAGTGGGAGGAGAGTTGTTGCATTATGGGAGACTGCAGTCAATGTCATGAGACAAAGTGTATGTGAACTGCTGTATGGAAGATGAATTTGCTCTGTAAACTTTCACCCAAATCACAATACAATGATAAAAAAATAAATGTGAGAGTTGATCAGGGACTGATGTGGTTTTCTATGAAGGTTATCTGATGTTTTATGTGTTTAGGAGCTCTGGTAGCATAGTGGCTAAAGCACTTGACTGCTAACCAGAAGACTGGCGGTTCAAACCCACCAGCCACTCCTCGGAAGGAAGGTTG